AGTGATGTGGAGTGCACGAGTTGGTCATAAAAGAATACAGCGTGGAACTGCCACAGCCTCAGGATCAGGAGATATCCAAGGGAGCCAGGGAGTGGCAAACTTAAGCCTTAAGCCGCACAAGCTCTTGGGGCGCAATACAAGACAAAGCACGAGATTTTTATTGGCTCAGGAGCTTGTATATAAAGCCTGAGGAGAGATACATTCAAAGCCAAGGAAGGCGCTAGTGCAGTTGCCAATTGGTGCACCAGGATAAGAGGCAAACAGTGACTGTCTCAAAGGATCAAGAACTTGAAGGAGCTTGGGGGGCCTTGAAGAATCAACGCGTGCATCCACAGGTGAACATCGAGCTTCTCTACATGTGCTTGTTTTCTGTTTTCTCTTCCCAAAACAATTCCGATGGCATGCAGTTCTGTTGAAATTTAGAGTTTGCGAGCTGAAATTCTGCGTGTTCTGTAGCAGGCATGGAGATGCTGGCGGGCGTGCAAGACGGCCTGAACATAGAGCAAGAGTATGCCAACGCGATGCGCACGCAGTCTAACATGCGCTTCTTATCAAACAAGGAAGAGATGGAAGCCCTTCTTCAGCCTCAGCAAGATCTCATCCTTCCAATGCTTCACAGCACGAGGCGGAGAAAATCTTCTGAAATTCAGCTCGCAATGTCCGGTTACTTTGATGCCAGTGCTGAGGCCTCGGAGATCTGCAAGCAGCTACTGAGGAACATCAAGAACACCGAAAGCAACTACCAATCAATGGACAGCTTCCTTGCAAGCATAGGCTGTACTACTGCCACTAGTAGTACCTCCCTTGCACTGGAAACAATCCCTGTTAGAAGCAACCCTTTCAGCACCACCACAAGAAGCAATTTCAGACAGATTCATGACAGGTACTCCTCCGTGCTCCAGACCATCAAATCAAGTCACAGGAAAGTGGCAAAGAAGCTCAAGATAGTGAAAATCATCAAGAAGCTCTCAAGGACTTGCCTCGTCATTGCAGGTGGTGCGGTTGCCATCGGGATTGCAGCACACCTGCTGGTCTTTAGCCTTCTGGTTGGATCTGCGCTCATGGGGCTCTGCCCTATTGCGTTCAAGAGGAGGGTCACGAGGCTGAAACGTTCTAAGACAGAGTCTTTGCAGCAGCTGCAGGAGCAACTTGATACTGCCGCAAAGGGCACGTATGTTCTTGGCAGGGACTTCGACACGGTGAGCCACCTTGCAGTGCGCCTCTCGGACGGTATTGAGCGGGAGAATGCAATGGCAACATATTGCATGGAGATGGTGGATGAGAAGTATCCCGTGCAGGAGATGGTGATGGAGCTGAGGAGGAGTTGTTCTAGCTCTAGGAGATTGGCCATGGAGCTAGAAGAGCACGTGGGTCTGTGCCTTGCTACAATCCATAGAGCTAGAGTTTTGGTGATCGAAGAGATCTCCAAGCAAGCTTGATACAGTTGCCTGTTTAGTTAGTGTGGACATTATGTTTAGGAGTACTTCAGAGATGTTTATATTTTTTTGTTAGACCATGCAGGGAATTTGCACTTCAATACATTAGGATAGAAAATTAGGGCGATTTAGCTTCATCGAAAGAAGGAAAAGGAAGACAAAACAAAAATAAACAGATGGTTTGTGAGAGTTTGAGCAAAACTAGAAATATCAACTGCAATTTCTCGTGGGGAAATTGATGCTTTCTTGTACAGTCAGTGTATATATGAAAACATTCTGAGATTATTTCTGAAATAGCACATGCAAGTAAAAAAAATTCACCCATCCTACAAATTATCCTGTTTCTAAACATTTGTTAGCAATTTATGTTCAATATCTGTTAATGATTGAAGTTCAATCTGATGGCTGCTATTCAAAGGTAACATGCTTGGGGCAAACCAAACAGCATTAATATTGGCAGAAAATGAGTCAGGGGACTATGCAACATGACATTCTGTTTACACATAAGGCTTCCTCAGAAGGGAGAAAATTACTGTATTCTAGACACATAAAATTAATATTAAGACGTATATTTAGACCATACCTGATAGCGTGCATTGTATGCCATCCATGAAGTTAGAAGTGGCGAGAATTGGCATCATTATGGATACATACTTTACTATCTCTTCTTCATTGCTGTACAAATAACCCCACACATCTCGTACAGAAACTGTGATGATAACTACAAGAAGGCCTTCTACTAGGCACATAATTCCTGAAATAAGAACTGATAGACGTGCTGCCTGTGGATTCCCGGCGCCTAATTCATTGGACACTCTAATACTGCGTACAAACATTAATCATGAATTCAAACTGGTTAAGTACAATTTTGAGATGTTAAATCTCATAAAATGAAAGGAACGGAGTGGAATTCTGATATTGTGCTCCCCTGACCTTATTGCACTGCTGAGGCCACTTGGAATTGTATAAACCATCCACATTGTGTTTAAGCTAGATAAATGAACCAAAGTTAGTGGCATAATCAAGTATCTGAAAGCGCAATGTCAAGCTAGCTAACATTATACTTCATGATTATCACAAGAAATGGAAAAGGAAAGGTGTGTAACACCATGCTACTGGCCTACCACCATGTGATTTAAGTGTACCAGGCAGGTAAATAGTCTTGTTATATAACAATACTGTTGAATCTATCAAAAATCGTCTGCTTGTTAAAGATTCTCAGTAATTTAGTGCAAGAGAGTGCTTCAAGTCCTGTTTTCTTACCTGATGGATAAAATTGAAGTTTCCAGTTTTGGATTTGGAAGAAAACCTGCAAGGAGAACCACCATCTCGAATGCCCAGTACTCCAAGCTGAACTATGTTGTAAGTCAAACAACCAGTTCCATGAAGAAAGAAGGTGGTAAAGCACATATCACTTTTCACCCAGTTGTAAAGGAACTTTAATAACAAGATACTTATTAGTCAGACATTGCTTTTTGGTGGTTGCTCATATCAGGCTTACCAGGTCATAAATGTAGATGGAATGGCTAGACTTAAAAACAAGTTCACATCCTTTAACACCGCCCTTGACCATCCTTGCCAACTCCTTCTGCCAGCTTCAGAGAATTTAACATACAGTGCTAGCAATATCACATTGAACCAATAAGATACCGAGGTTGCCAGAGCTGCACCTCTGTAGCCAAGACCGGAACTCTGAACAAGGAACCAGCACAGCAGAATGTGGAATATCAACGTCACCCCAGAACAAACTACCAGTGGGTGTACAATATTTTGGGCCTGCAGGAACTTGGTAAGGCACTGAAGCAAGCCGTATGCGAAAAGACCAGGAATCAACAGCCGGGCGTAAGTTCCAGCTCCATATGATATCTCTGGATTTTGACCAAGAGCAGTAAGAATTTGGCCAGTGAAAGCCAATACAAAGGCCAGCGGAACGCTTGAAAGCATAAGAACGAAGATAGCCCTCTGGGCATGCGTCCCCAGCATATCATACTGTTTTGCCCCATATGATTGACCACACAGTGTATCGAGCGCGCTTCCCATTCCTAGCTGGCGCATTGCAATGGCATTAACAGGTGAAAATTTTCATCAAATCTAATTGCAATCGGAATTAGGCATCGCCTAATAAATGGAGTGTTAAAAGAAAATCTCATTATGCACAGACTGTTTGCTGCTTGCTAGTTACATGAGCTACCTTATGTGATGATTTTCCTTAGAATGGATTAAAACCTCTAGTAGCTCCGAGTCCTGGGTGCTCGCGTTGCATTTACTATCAACTCGCTCTTCCTTCAACTTCGGAAACAATTTTTTTTCCATGCTTCACAGGTAGCAACACGAGGCTTGGTTTGGTATCGTCACGGGCTTACCAGGACGCTGAAGCCGGTGACGTTGGCGAAGGAGGAGGCGACGGAGGCGGCGGAGAGGGGGAGCTCGCCGAGGTGGCCGGCGAACATGACGGAGACCACCTGCAGGCTGTACTGCAGCAGGCTGCACGCAACCAGCGGCGCCGCGAGCCCCACCTGCCGCCGCACCTCGTCCCGCGCCGTCGGCGCGGGGGCGCGAGGGAGGAGGAGAGGCGCCGAGGAGGCCGTCATGGCTGCCGAGCTCGCCTCCGCCGCCTCGCCGCGTCCGCTCATGCCCATTCCACCCACACCCTGGCCTTTGAGCTTTGACGAACTGAAGGGAGGGGAAGACGCTGACGGGGCGCGCTGGTCGCTGTCGCGGCAGTGACGCGCGGCGGCGCAGGCGATGAAAGGGGACAGGAAATATGGGCCACGCCAGAGTTTGATAGCCCAATTTGGGGGTCCTGGGCTGATTCGATTAGGACTGGGTTTCTTTCTCCAAAAGCGCGGTATTCAGGCTGGGCTAATGGTGAACTGGAGCCTGACAGGTTTTCACTAGTTAAGGAGTATTCATTGCAAAGATCACTCCAACCTCTTTAGGTTGCGAAGTGGTATGTGCGCTACTTGTTGCAATCTGAAGTTTTTTCTTTTTTCGTAGATTTGTTTATTTAAAATGTTTTATCCTTTAAACCATGCGTCTAAATCTCGAACCGCTTTCAACCATTGGATTCTTTGAGTCGAGATCTTCAAAACTAGATCCCATGTTGATAGGTTTTAACAGTATTTTTTCATGAAAAAAATGGACGAAAAAACCGTACTGGTAGCACGGGTTTTTTCCTTTTCCGAAAGAGGCACGCCTATGCCTATCACGAAATCACAACCGTGCCTCTCGCTGGAGGAAGCAAAACCGTGACTCTCGTGAAAGGAAAAAAAACAGAAAACGCGTTTTTTTCGTTTCTGAGAAGCACGGCCGTGACTCTCGCGAAAGCACAACCGTGCCTCTCGCGGAAGCAAAACCGTGACTCTCGCAAAAGGAAAAAACAGAAAACGCGTTTTTTTCTGTTTCCAAGAGGCATAACCATGCCTCTAGCGGAAGCAAAACCGTGACTCTCGCGAAAGGGAAAAAAATAGAAAACACGTTTTTTTTCGTTTCCGAGAGGCACGGCCGTGACTCTCGCGAAAGCAAAACGGTGCCTATCACAGAAGCAAAACCGTAACTCCCGTGAAAGAAAAGAAACGCGATTTTTCGCGCAATTTTTTTTCCCAATTTTTTTTATCGAAAAGCTAAGAAAGACAGATAGAAAATCAAAATGTCCAAAAAAGGGAAAAAACGTTTAAAAAGCAGAAAATGCGTGAAAAAAAAACAAAATTCAAAGAAAGCGCCCAAAGCGCAACACGTGACGAATGGCTGAGAGCGCGTCAAGTGATGCTGATTATTACGAGACTCCCGAAGAAGCGCCCGTTAACTAATTGCTCTTGGCTTTCAGTACACTGCATGGCCCAAGCAGAACGCAAATCCAAAAATACAGATTTCTATATCGATATTTATACAGTTACCAAGCTCCCAGGATTTGTACGCTCCTGGTGCATTGTGGTTATTGGGGTCGGTTGTGTGCCTATTTGTTGGGCTGTGTTTCGGCTCTTAGATGTATACGGGCCTACTCAGTGCTGAGTTGTAGCGATTCATGTGTCCTTTTTTTTTCTTGTACGCGTGAGGGTGTGTGTCTGCTCTCTTGGCGCTCCTCAATGGAGCATTGATGGTCCATGTTGTCAGCCGGCGATCAGGTGCGGTGGTGTGCCCCCAATAACAACCACATATTGGGTTTCCGATTTGTCAACTTTAATTTGCTTCATGGAGGGGTCCGTCCCGAGGGGTGACGGTTTGCGTTTGGCAAGCGGCGATCGCGGGGGCGATTAGGGTTTCTGTCGCCACGCGCATCTAACGCTAGCCCGACAGTCTGCTCTTCAATCTCCCAAGGGCGGATCGCGCACTCATCCTCACCCGATCTGGCTCCTCCGATCTCCTGGACGGAGGGCGCACCCAACCAAGTCCACACCAAGCCTTTCGCGCGTGCTAGGGCGCATGATCCTACTGTTGGAAATATGCCCTAGAGGCAATAATAAAAGGTTTATTATTATATTTCCTTGTTCATGATAATTGTCTTTTATTCATGCTATAACTGTATTATCCGGAAATCGTAATACACGTGTGAATACATAGACCATAAACATGTCCCTAGTGAGCCTCTAGTTGACTAGCTCGTTGGTCAATAGATAGTCATGGTTTCCTGACTATGGACATTAGATGTCATTGACAACGGGATCACATCATTGGGAGAAAGATGTGATGGACAAGACCCAATCCTAAGCATAGCACAAGATCATGTAGTTCGTTTAGCTAGAGCTTTTTCAATGTCAAGTATCTCTTCCTTAGACCATGAGATCGTGTAACTCCCGGATACCGTCAGAGTGCTTTGGGTGTACCAAACGTCACAACGTAATTGGGTGACTATAAAGGTGCACTACAGGTATCTCCGAAAGTGTCTGTTGGGTTGACACGGATCGAGACTGGGATTTGTCACTCCGTATGACGGAGAGGTATCTCTGGGCCCACTCGGTAATACATCATCATAATGAGCTCAAAGTGACCAAGTGTTTGGTCACGGGATCATGCATTACGGTACGAGTAAAGTGACTTGCCGGTAACGAGACTGAACGAGGTATTGGGATACCGACGATCGAGTCTCGGGCATGTAACGTACCGATTGACAAAGGGAATTGTATACGGGGTTGATTGAATCCTCGACATCGTGGTTCATCCGATGACATCATCGAGGAGCATGTGGGAGCCAACATGGGTATCCAGATCCCGCTGTTGGTTATTGACCAGAGAGCCGTCTCGGTCATGTCTGCGTGTCTCCCGAACCCGTAGGGTCTACACACTTAAGGTTCGGTGACGCTAGGGTTATTAGGAAGACTTGTATGTGATTACTGAAAGTTGTTCGGAGTCCCGGATGAGATCCCGGACGTCACGAGGAGTTCCGGAATGGTCCGGAGGTGAAGATTTAAATATGAGAAGTTGTCATGCGGACACCGGAAAGTTTCGGGGGCATATCGGTATTGTACCGGGGCCACCGGAGAGGTTCCGGGGGTCCACCGGGAGGGGCCACCCCTCTCGGAGGGCCACATGGGCCGCAAGGGGCAGGGAACCAGCCCCTAGAGGGCTGGGCGCCTCCCCCCACCTTGGGCCCACGTGCCTAGGGTTTTGGGGGGAACCCTAGAGGGGGCGCCCCCTTTGCTTGGGGGGCAAGTCCCCCCTCCCTGGCCGCCGCCCCCCCTCTAGATCCCATCTAGAGGGGCCCGCCCCCCTTGCCCCTTCCCCTATAAATAGAGGGGTGAGGGGAGGGCTGCAACACACAACCCAAGGCGCAGCCCCTCCCCTCTCCAACACCTCTCCTCCTCCGTCACGTGCTTGGCGAAGCCCTGCCGTAGTACTGCTTCTCCACCAACACCACGCCGTCGTGCTGCCGTTGGAGCTGTCTTCCTCAACCTCTCCTTCCTCCTTGCTGGATCAAGACGGAGGAGACGTCGTCCGTTCCGTACGTGTGTTGAACGCGGAGGTGCTGTCCGTTCGGCACTTGGTCATCGGTGATCTGAATCACGTCGAGTGCGACTCCATCATCACCGTTCCCTCGAACGCTTCCGCACGCGATCTACAAGTGGTATGTAGATGCAAACTCACTCCCTTGACTCGTTGCTTAGATGAACTCATAGATGGATCTTGGTGAAACCGTAGGAAATTTTTTAATTTTCTGCAACGTTCCCCAACAGTGGCATCATGAGCTAGGTCTATGCGTAGTTCTCTATTGCACGAGTAGAACACAATTTTGTTGTGGGCGTAGATCTTGTCAACTTGCTTGCCGCTACTAGTCTTATCTTGCTTCAGCGGTATTGTGGGATGAAGTGGCCCGGACCAACCTTACACGTACGCTTACGTGAGACCGGTTCCACCGACTAACATGCACTAGTTGCATAAGGTGGCTGGCGGGTGTCTGTCTCTCCCACTTTAGTTGGAGCGGATTCGATGAAAAGGGTCCTTATGAAGGGTAAATAGAAGTTGACAAAATCACGTTGTGGTTATTCGTAGGTAAGAAAACGTTCTTGCTAGAACCCAATTGCAGCCACGTAAAAGATGCAACAACAATTAGAGGACGTCTAACTTGTTTTTGCAGCAATTGTCATGTGATGTGATATGGCCAGAAGTTGTGATGAATGATGAATGATATACTATGATGTATGAGATCATGTTCTTGTAATAGGAATCACGACTTGCATGTCGATGAGTATGACAATCGGCAGGAGCCATAGGAGTTGCCTTTATTTTTTGTATGACTTGCGTGTCATTGAAGAACGCCATGTAAATTACTTTACTTTATTGCTAAACGCGTTAGCCATAGAAGTAGAAGTAGTCGTTGGCGTGACAACTTCATGAAGACACAATGATGGAGATCATGATGATGGAGATCATGGTGTCATGCCGGTGAAGAAGATGATCATGGAGCCTCGAAGATGGAGATCAAACGAGCTATATGATATTGGCCATATCATGTCACTACTATATAATTGCATGTGATGTTTATTATGTTTTATGCATCTTGTTTACTTAGAATGGTGGTAGTAAATAAGATGATCCCTTATAATAATTTCAAGAAAGTGTTCCCCCTAACTGTGCACCGTTGCTAAAGTTCGTCGTTTCGAAGCACCACGTGATGATCGGGTGTGATAGATCCTTACGTTCACATACAACGGGTGTAAGCCAGATTTACACATGCAGAACACTTAGGGTTAACTTGACGAGCCTAGCATGTACAGACATGGCCTCGGAACACAGAGACCGAAAGGTCGAACACGAGTCGTATGGAAGATACGATCAACATGGAGATGTTCACCGACGATGACTAGTCCGTCTCACGTGATGATCGGACACGGCCTAGTCGACTCGGATCGTGTAACACTTAGATGACTAGAGGGATGTCTAATCTGAGTGGGAGTTCATTAAAATAATTTGATTAGATGAACTTAATTATCATAAACTTAGTCTAAAACTTTTTGCAAAATATGTCTTGTAGATCAAATGGCCAACGCTCATGTCAACATGAACTTCAACGCGTTCCTAGAGAAAACCAAGCTGAAAGATGATGGCAGCAACTATACGGACTGGGTCCGGAACCTGAGGATCATCCTCATAGCTGCCAGGAAACAATATGTCCTAGAAGGACCGCTAGGTGACGCTCCCGTCC